GGCTTGGTGTGGGGGGGGGGAGGGCCTGGAGGCCTGGGGCTGAATTCCTTGGCCAGTTACCTGTGTTCTGTGTCTTTCTTTGCAGCATGGGGGTACTTAATGCATCTACTCCATCAGACTGTGATAAGAGGAAGGGGTATTCTATGCAAAATAGCCCAGCTGGTAGTAAGCATCCTGTAAATCCAGCTGTGGCTATTTTAACCCCATTCTATCCCCCCAGAGGTAGGCTCTCCTGTCCCCACTTTACAATTGGGAAGACTGAGACTTGGTGAGGCAAGGTGAGTTGCCAGGAGCTACCTTGCTAGGATTTGAAATTCGATCTGAGAACCAAAAGCTGAGGGGGTGAACGTTCTCTTCTGTGTCCAGGTACACCCAGGGACTCACAGTGGCAAAGCATCTGGAACACTAAGCCAGAAGCAAACTCCAGACAGACATGACTTTTGGTTTCCTGACAGAGGCCAAAATACCACACTTCATTTCAAACAGGGATGATGGAGTATGGGGTCCCTGCAGGTGACTCCCCGAGGGTGTCCCAGACTCTCTTGAATACCCCATTCAGCTGTCCGCTCAGGTGGAGAAAGACTACGAACTTTAGGGACCCCCAACGTGGGCCGATCTCTTTGGACAAGTGGCTCAGCGCTATGGGTACTGGTTCGTCAAGACGCTTATCTGGTGGCTGCTGTTTCCTGCACTGACCGGGCAGGAGGGAGGTGGGAAGAGCCAGCACTGCTCCTGCCCTTCCTTTCTAGTCCTCCTCCTCATTTCACTGTCTCCCCCAAAAGATGGGCGTCTCCTTCCTTTCTCGTCCTCCTCCTCCTCATTTCACTGTCTCCCCCCAAATATGGGTGAAGGGTGCTAGGCAGGTGTGTCAGGATTGGAAAGAGGGGGCACACAGCAGCTCCCTCCTTTGCCATCCTCAACACGGGACTTCTGGAATTGAGACACTTGGAGCTTTGCAAGTCCTGGTCATTCAGTCCCTACTGCTGGAAATCCCACTCTTCTTCCCCATTCGTTACCTGTCCAAGCCCTACCTAGACTTTAAGGCCCAGTTCATGTCCTGTGTCCTCCAAAGAATATCTCCCAGGATACTTCCATTGACCGAATTTTTCTATTCCTCAGTTCAATCTAAGGATCACATAAGTACACATTAAAGTTAAGTCCTATTTCACTAATCTAATAAAGTTTATATATTTGGTCCTTTTTCATATCCCCAGCAGGCCCTGGCCTAGTGCTAGTAAAGAAACTCCAGTTGATAGCTGAGGCGAGCACATGTCAGCCAGAGCCGGTGTTGGGGGGACAGGGGGTTACTGCGGCTTGCTCATCTCTGCCTCCCCTGCTCCTGTGTATCCGTATCTGATCCACAGTAGGCACTTAAGAAGTGTGATGACGTTGCCAAAGGTAGCATGTGTGGAAATACCAAGTGTGGCTCCAAGCACCCAGTAGGAGCTCCGTAAAGGTTTCCTGACCAAGAATGAATCAGCACAGCAGAGCTGCTGCTCATGGGTTTTTATCAGAGAGGTGTAACTCTCAAGACTTACCATTTTGTTTAAGTTCTTTAAAATGGGCTTTTCCATGGGCTCAGCAAAAGAGTTATACAGGACGCTTTGGAAGAAAGGAAATAAGAAGGGCTTAGTCGGGGACCATAATCTGGTTACGAACCTCCCTAGACACAGTCTGGGGATGTGACCCGGGCCGGCCACTGCCTCCAGGCGTCTCTCTTACCTGAGCTCCCCAGAAAAGGAGACGTGGGCATGGCTCACTTGGGCATAGCAGTCTTGGAGCTTAAGGATTGGGTGGCCAAAGTCATTTCTGGCCAAGATCACGATACCTGTGAAGTAGACCCCGGAGAGAAACAGATTGGCTCCCCCGGAGTCTTGGCTGTTGAGAGAAAAGTGTGATGTTAGTCACCCCAGTCTGGGCAGTGAGGAGATGAATCTTGCTTCTCTGATTACTCATGGGCCCTAAACTCCAGGAGGGTAAGAAAGGTGTCATGTTCACCTCTGGTTCCTATAACAGCAGGGGCGCAGTGGGTGCTGAATGACTATTTACTGACCACAGAAACAATGAATTTGTGAGTGGAACTCTTGTGACCACTTAATGCCCAGTGCCCTGGCCGTTGCAGCGGTAGAGCATGGGTTGATGTCATTCCCAGACAATGCTGGTTTGGAGAGACAGCATGGGGGTGGAGCCTTTAGGGGGGCACAGAGGCAGCAGTGGCATTTTGATGTAGCCTGTGAAGTCTATGAGCCAGTGTGGACTGTGGTTATTCATCTCTCTGTTGATGTTCTATGGGTGATGAGTCAGCAAAGAAATGAATGAACGCTTGAGTCTATGTTACTTATGGGGGAAAGTGCTTGAGTCTATGTTACTTTTGGGGGAAAGTGCTTGAGTTTATGTTACTTTTAGGGGAATATGCTACTCCTCTACAGTCTACAGGACTGCAGTGCTTGAGATGGAGATGAACCCGCACCCTTTACAGTGGACACAGCTGCCAAATGATGTAATGGATGAATGAATGTGTCATATGGGGCATCACGTAAGGTTGACTGAATATTACACCGGGACACTGACTTGTACACGGTGAGTGGTTTGTCAGTGACCTTGAGTCTGACCCCTCTTTGTATGTGAGTTGCGAAGGCCTTTGACGGGGGGGGAATTGGCCTCCAACGGACTCCCACCCTTTGACCTCATGTGAGGGTCCATTCCCCACCAGCTGCTACACTTCTGATTTTGTCCCATTCCCCCAGGACAGCAGCAGACTTTTCTGTGGACACTTACAAAAGGGGCGACTTGACATCCCAGTCTGTGCTGATATTGGCCGTGCCGTGGTTGGTCAGCGCCTTGATGCCCACGCCGGGCACAAAGGCTAACGAGGTGTTTGGAAATGAAAAGGCATTGATTTTTATGCTGTAAAACAAGACACAGGGGAGTTAGTGCAACTCTTCCAGCTCATCTCGAATAAGGAAAGCAGAATGGGAAATGCTGTAGTACAACTCCCAGAGATGGTGGGCAGCTGCGAATTTCTACTGAGGAAGGAAGCTCAGGGCCTCAATGCTGCTGCTTCTGGACGCTGCCTTCTAGTCGCCCCACCGACCCGACCCCTGCCCCAGCGCCTGCTCCTTGCAGCGAGTCTATCCCTTGTCTTCCAGGGGGGAAATGAACAAGCTTAGAAGCAAATTTGCAAATAACCTACTTTTAAATTTTTTTAAAAAATATTTATTTATGCATACAGAACTGGGGTACAAGCCTGAGGTGCAGGGAGTGAGAGGTTCACCAGAGACAGAGTGGGGAGCAGAACAGGCAGATGGACTGAAAACTGCTGAGGGGAGCAGTGGGCGGTCCTCTGTTACTGGACAACCCAGTGTGCCTTCTTGTTTCCAGAAGCCCACTGAGTGGACAGCATGTTCCCTAGTTGGGAAACTTATGTCAGTGCTAATACTTCCTAGGATTTTCTGAGCCATCAAAGAGATAACGAGGAGGCGGTAGCTTACATGAAATCTGTACAGAGACTTGGTTCTCTGTATATAGTGACACATTATTATTACAACATTGAGGGATTATTACCTGCCAGACAGTGTGACAAGCATCTTACATGCATTAGCTCCTTTTAACCCTCTCAATAATCCTATGAGGCTGTTGCTGTTTTTACAATTTGCCATTTAGAGAAGAGAAGAGACTTGGCGAGAGTCATGTAAAGTAGAACAAGACCTGGAGGCCTTCCCACTCTGTCTTCAGACTGTGCTTGTAACAAGTAGCCTCCTGGTTACTTCTGTGCAAAGCACACTTGATTTGGAGCTAAGTGTTGTGCTAGCTTAACCTTAGGGAGAGTTCATAACCTCTTGTAGTCAATCACTCTGAGAAAGCGTTCCTCGAAGGGAAGCAGGTAGGGTTAAAAGCGATCATTTGTGCCTAACCGTGATATAGGAGAAAGGCATTTTATCAACTAGGGTTGAGAAGATTCTAAAACACGGCCTCCCTGGTGGCACAACGGGTTAAAGTGTAACACTGTGAAGCTAGTCGCAGCCACTTCAGGATGAACTCAATCCCTCGGGGAAGAGAGCTGACCCACATGGAACAGCAGGCTTCTCCTGTCTTGCTCACTGCTCCCCTCAGCAGTGTATTTCAGTCCATCAGCCTGTTCTGCTCCTCACACTGTCTCTGGTGAATCCTCTCACAGCCCCTGCATCTCTGGCCTGTACCCCATTTCTGTATGAATAAATAAATAAATCTTAAAAAAAAAAAGAAGATTCTAAAACATAGATGAGGTAGCTGATGAGAACTGTTTCATCAAACTAAAAAGTTTCTGCAGAGAAACTTGCATTTGATTAGGAGAAAGTATTGCAACACTGTGCATCCCATGAAGGATTAATATCCAAAACACATAAGAAACTCATGAAACGCAACAGCAACAATAAAAAAGAACAAGAGGTGGGCAGAGATCTGAACAGACACTGCTTCAAAGAGGACTCACAGATGGCCAGTGAGCACCTGAAAATATGTTGCTCATCTCTTACTAGGGAAATGCATATCAAAACCACAAGGAGCGATCACTTTCCATACCGAGAACGCTATTATCCAAAAGAAAAGAAGCCACAGTGTTGGAGAGGTTATGGGGTGAAAGATGTGTACATGATTGGCGGGAAGAGGGCAGTCGAGATCACAGGAGGCCAGAAGGCCGTGGGCCCTGGAATGCCTGAAGGCTTGGCTAAAGTTGACTTATCATAAGAAAATTCTTGATGAAAGTTGGTTTGTTTTTGAGTTGAGGTTGAATTTCACATCTGTTATGGGGCCGCAGCAGCCATGGGCAAGAGAGGACAAGGATTTCATTTCGAATTCAAAGGGCGCGGGGTGGCCACAGAGGACTTCTGTGCTGAGTTCGAATTCGGCCTGTCGGCAGCAGGCGCGCATGCGCGACTCCAGGCAGCAGCACCGGGGGCCCGCGAGCCGTGTGCATCCGAGACAGGGCTTGGGCCCGGCGACTCCAGTGCCTCAGTGGCAAGTCTGTCACGCCCCTTGAATGTCAAGTCTGTCATGCCCCTTGGTTCGCGCATTCGTTGCGCCTCCCGCCAAAGGCAGCGAGCTTCCTCTCTGGGCCTGGCGTTAGAGCAGGTGGTGTATCCGTAACGCCGCTTGAGGTTTTAAAGATTAATTTTGTGGCTAAAAAGAATCATTTTCCTCTTTCACTTACTTGGAAAAGTTGTAGTTCACATAGTCAACGTTCAGAAATTCAAGGGATTCAGACCCTTCCAAATCTGGGATGTCTTTTTCTTTCACCATCTGCTCGATCATTTCCATTCCAACCTGGACGCCTGTGAAGGAAGCGGACGTGTTACTAATAGTGACAAATACGGTGGCTATGTTGAGTCGTTAGCCACAGCAGTGAAATTCAGGACCGCGTGCTCTTAGAGACTTAGAAAGAGCGGCCTTAGCATATGCAGAGTGTTGTTTCTGCTTCATGATAAAAAGGTGGGTTCCCGGGAAAGCTAAGGGGTTCGCCCCAACCCCAGCCGGAGTTTGTACGAGAAAGGTTCCTTATGTGGCCCGGGCTCGAGAATGCTCTCACAGGACAAAATGTCTCATTATTTACATTTAAAGAGGAGGAAACCAAGCTTTAAAGAGGGTTAATTTTTCTCCTGCATCACACAAGTAAGCCCTGGGCACTCTGGCTGCACACGCACCAGTTCAGTGACAGGACACACGCACACATTGCCTTGGTGTGTATTGCCACGCACCCCATGGTTTACTCTAAGATGAGTCAATTTCGGATGCCCTGTGTCAGAGGAGGTCCTAGGGGAAGGTGGTTCCAAATCAACTTGCCCCTGCCCGTCTGTGCCCCTCCTTCCTTCCTCCTTCCATCTCTTCCTTCTTTCCATTCTTTCCTGGTGTAGCAGAAAGGGCACTTTTCGGTTACACTCAGATATGTTTTAGACTAGTATTGCTTTAGTTAAGGAGGAATGAGGGAGATCTATCACCTACATGCAGCTAATCTCAGCCAAATTTTACAGGAGAAAACCAGGCCCAGGCACCTTGGTTTTGCAAATCCTCTCCTCTACACCACCGGCCCCACCCCCACCTGCCCCCACCCCCGTACCGGAGCAAACTGTCAGGGCAACATTTTCCTTTTATACACCTCTGAGTTATTCTTCATCGTTGAGCATCTCAGACTACTCTGCACCTCCAATGAATGCTAGCAGGCGTCTATTAAGAAAAATGCACATGGGTCCGGTCATTCACCATCAGTTTACGCATGATTTTAGGGAACTCGTGTTCTTTTAAAAATCAAACCCTTTCTGAAGCTTTGAGGTGTTACTGTTACTCTCAAGTCTTTCTTGTTCGTCTTTAGAGCTTCAAGGTGTTCATTTTGTGTTTGTGTGGAAGGAGGGAGGGAGGGGAAATGGGAGGGGGAGAGAGAGAACCTGTGATTGTGCTCAGCAATGTTTCCCATCAGGGTGATTAGACGATACGTTCTTTCTGGCCATCTTAGCAGCTACTGTTAAGGTGCAAGGTCTGGGCCACCCACAGTAGCACTGTCTCAGCCCTGAGGCAAGTGGGTTTAGGTCCTAGATCTACCTGCTTTGGGGGCGGGGGTTGCAGCCTGGCTTCTGAAAGTACTTGCCTCCCTCCACTCACCATAGTCCAGAGCCCGCTGAGTAGCCCTCGCCTTGATTCCAGGGTGAATGGCCTGAGAGGCTGAGATGCAGAGATTCCACAGGAGAAAACATCCCCAGAGCACCTGGGCTGTCCTTGTACACATCTGCAAGCAACCAACGTGTACAGTTTGGTCAAATGACTTTCTGATCAACTTCATACAGCATTTCAAGGCTTTCTCATTTTCATTGCTCACTTCTAGAACTCTCCCCTTCCATCCATCCATTATCCAGTCATCCACCCACCCATCCATCCATCCATCCATCCATCCATCCATCCATGCATATATTAATCACTTATTGAATATACCAACATGTATTCTAGCTGCTGAGGATATAAACACGACCTAAGTGTAGCCCTTGACCTCTGCTTTCCACAGACTAGTGGGAGAATCAGACACACACACACAGATGGTGAAAACACAACACAGTATAATGCAATTTGGTAAAATAAAAAGCTTTGCAGTAAACATAGAGATGGGGATAAACCATGGGATCAGCACAGGGGTGGGGTTGGGGGGATTCCTGACTGCTTTAGACTCAGCAGTTTAGAAAGATGGCCTCAGGGGTACGAGGCAATTACTCCTCTGCTTAAAGTCACCGGGTGACTCCCTTTGGTTCGAAGATGGGCTTCGGCAAGGATTTCAGAACTGGCCCCAGACATCACCCTAATCCTGTCACCCCCTACTCCTGTCCAAAAGAGTGTTCTAAGCTGCCACGCTGAGCTATTTGCTTTTCCTCGACAGAGGGCTGTAACGTTGAACCCGTCTGATGGAAACGCACACGCGTGTACATTCTCGCTCTCTTTTCCTTCTTCCCCTTCCCTCCTCCTCCCTAATTCTGGGTCAAGTACCTGCTCTGCTGGTGAGTATGCCCCCCTACCCCACCCAGGGCCAGTTCCAGACCCCTCTCCCTCTGTGAAAATCCCTTCACTAGGTCATTTCCCACTGGCTCATCGCCCTGTCCCGTGGGCTTCTCCACACTTTCTACCTTTCTTGTGTGACGCTGAAGCATGCCACACACAGTGAGCACTCAGGCAGCCCTCTGCACGGTCCACCACCCCAGTATCCTCATCCCAGTACCACATCATGGGGGTTTGCAGTAGCCTTCTGACTGGTCTCTGTTCCCTTCCTGCCTCTGGCAATTTGTCGCATCCCAGCTAGCGGGGTCTGTCACTTGCCTGGCCCCCACCAGCTTACAGCTCTCTGGGGTAAAAACCAAAGCCCCCTTCCCCAGCTACACGGCCCTGCTGGCTCCACGCCTCTGCTTCCTTACTGGCCACCTTCCCTCATACACTTCCTTGTTTCAGCACCCGGAACGGTGACTGGCACATAGTAGGGAAACGGGTCAGTATTGAATGACCACTGAATGACCGAATAGAGCCCCTTCCTTGAGACTTTGATGTGGCCTCGTGTGCCTTTGGGGCTCCACAATACCTGGCCGTCCTGATCTTAGTAATGTGCCAGCTGTGCTGTGAGTGCCCTTGTCCCTCTATCACTGGATTATGTCCAGCTTCTAGACCCTCTGAGCCTAACACAATGCCTGAGGCACAGTAAACACACACACAGACATCTTAATAAACACCTGCAAGGAGAGGGACTGCATCTTCCTGTTATATCACCAGCACCTGGTATATATGAAATATACAGTGTATATTTGTGGAATCAATGGACTCAATGGAACAACGTTGCCCCATTTCCTTGATAAATGAAGCACAGATACCAAAAGCAAGAGTAATATGGGCTTCTCATAGTGACAACCTAGTGAGTCAACATTCATGGGTCCTGCTACTAGTTCTGGGAGTTTATAATCTGGGTGTGCTCTTGCAGCTACATTCACACATGCCAAAGACCCACAGGCAAGAGGTGCCCACTGAGTTAACACAGAGATATGGAACAAGTCAGAGAAGCATTTGTGGGGGTGTCAAGGAAGACATTTAGACAGAGGGAGGGGTCAGGCTAGGTGGCCAGGAAGGATTAAAGAGGGGCTAGAATTCAGAAATAGACTGAAGGAAGCAGTCTTTGTAGTGTATGTGTGTGTGTGTGTGTGTGTGTACTGTTTGGCCAAAATAAGCAAGAGGCTTCATAAATGGGGTTACATGGGCTTAGAGCCGAGGCAATAGAGGTGGCAATGGGGTGATACAGACAGGCTGCTCTAGAGAACTTCCTGAAAGAGCAGAGCAGTCTGAGCAGAGGCGGGAGTATCTATGCAGGGCTACTGGTTGCCTCTCTTGGGGTTTGTGTGGAATGGGCAAAGGTGCCCTTTGGAGACATACCAGCCCTCCAGCGCTGTGCAAAGCCAGCAGAGAGTCTTCTAGGCCAGTCTCACAATGTACCCGGCTGGTAGGGAGGAGCAATGGCTGCCCTGCCCCCTGCACCCCGTGGGCAGCATTTTGCTGCACACACAGACTGTCTAGCTTCCACTGTGGGCTTGAACTCAGATTCGTGAGTGTCCATGCAGGTATCTTTCTGGGGGACCACGAGGTTGAGTGTGAGGGTCTCTGTAGAGCATAGATTTACCTAGAGGCCCCAGAAGTCTGGCTTGGTCTAAGCTTCATGGTCCTCCTCTGTGGCCACTGTCCAGACAAACTGAGCTCCCTAAACACACACCATGTATCTGGCCCAGGTCTTTGCTCACGCTGACCCCTTCACCTAGGCCAGAAACAGAAAAAGATACATCTGTGCATCCTCTAGGCCCAAGTTACTTACTTTTATTCTCTCTAGCCCCTCTTCCTTAACGAGTCTTAAACAGCCTTCTTCTGAAGACTTTCCTGACTTCCCGAAGCTAACCTCATTTCTTTCTCAACACTCAGCCAAAACATATATTTATTCCTGCGTGTTTATTTCTTCGCGTATTGTCCGTCTCTCTACGAGAATGTAGGTGCTGGGCAGGTGAGCCCTGGTAACGGGTCCCAGAGCCTGGCTTGGTGTTTTGGTTGTCGCGGGGGCTAATATGTGCTGGTAGAATGAATTAGCTAATTCATACGTCATGAACTCACTCTCACCTAAGTCTTTATATTATAGTTCTTTGCAGAGATGATTAACAAAATTTAGCCATGAGTTGAGTGAATACACTCATCAGACCTACTCTTCGAGCAGGGTTGGGGTGCCCAGGCTCATGGGGACATTAGGGGGGTCAGGGGCTAGGGCCTGAGTAATGACTCTATCTTAAATACTGGGATATTTCAATAGGTAACAGCACTGTGGCTTAGGTGTCCGGTGTGATGTTTCATTCCTGTGAGTTAGCCTGGGTCACATAAAACATCCTGTAACAATAGGCTGGGCAGCAGTGTTGGGGGCAGACAATCCTTGGGGAAGCACAGAGGAATGAGAGTGGGAGCGCAGGGGGAGGGGTGCAGGCAGCAGCAGAGGGACTCTGGCCAGCAATGAAGGCTCTCAGGGCTGGAGGAAAAGGGAGGAGTGGACCAGCGAGTGTGAAGTCCTCCACACTCTGGGAGACCAGGTGATACGAACAGCTCCTTCTACTCGGTTGGAATAGATGTAGGAGCTAGGTCCAGTTACCATCGGTGCCAGGCCTTCTTGATCCTTTCATTGTCCTGGGGGTGGGCAGAGATGGGCAGGACTATGGGAATGAGGGTGACACTCCCGGGGTGACACTAACCTCAAGTTAGTGACTACGGTCCTAGTAGTGTGGAAGTGTTTCCACATTTTAACGAGTGGTGAGATCATGCTGATGAGTAGTCCTGCGTATATCGTGGGCCAAGAATTGTAAAAGGATGGCTCACCCTGACGCAGACATGAGAGAGCTGTTTTAGAAGAAGAAAACATTTTCAAAGCCGTGGAAAGCAATGGGATAGAAGGGGAGACCAAAGAAGTCTACGCTCACTGGACCCTAGGCAAGCCACGGCTAGAATTCATATCTCTGCTTGGTAAGTGACTGGAATGCAATAAATATTTACCAGCTGATCAAAGATTCTGGCTGGCTAAGACAACCTCTACAAATGCTGAAAAAAGCCAGAAATACAAGCCAGCATCTAAGGAGCTCTCTGTTTCTCCAGCAAAAAAAGCACAATAAAACAAGGAGTGACTCCTTGCTAGTGAAATAATGACTAAAATGATGAATGGGTGTTATTTATCATTTGTGAAATAGACAATGCTTGGCAGACTATAGCCTGTGGATAATAGGATAATAGGACACACGCCTGTTATTCTCCATCCTTTTTTACACTCATGGACACACACAAAGGCTTACAGTCTCAGTGACTTGCCGAGGATGACCCTGTAAACTGCACACCCAGGACTCACAGCTCCTAGTTCTTCTGGATCCTAATTCTAGTATTTATGAATTTGTTTTTTTTCATGTAATGACTTGAGATGTGCTAGATTATTTCATTTTCATTTTGGAAACTGCAAGCAGGAACTGTTAAGGAGGAATAACTTGCACTATCTTCTATGTGGAAAAAATTTCACTAAGCATCTGGAAATTTTCAAGCATCAAAGTGGAAATCCCTTTGTATTTTCTTAGATACAGATAGAATTTTAAATTCACTCCCAGCAGTAAAAAACCCGTTTTTCTTTCTCAGTTAAAGAAAGTTTCTCATGTGGTATACTTTGATGGCAATCCAGGAACTCTAAGTTTCACATAAAAAAGCACAGTTTTTCCTCTAGAAATTTTTATGAGTGAATGAAATTACTGGCCTATAAAAGGGTGGATTGCATGTAACTTTCTGTTGAATTGTTTGGTGAGGATGGCAATTTATGAGCAAGGGAGGAAAGGAACCTTGTCAAGCAAGGAGATGACTCCTAAAAGGTTAAGTAATTTGGCCAACAAGTAAGGGCAGGGTGAGTCGCCTGTTAAAAGAAGGGATCCAAGAGGATTTGAAAACTTTGTCAGCAAGTTACCTACTTTGTTGCTTTGAGGAACTGCTTCTTTATATGATGCTCAGAACTCATTATAATATTTCCATACCAATATACAGACAGAATAACCCTTCTGAATTCAGTGGCCATTGCCTGGGTCATTCCAACGATGAGGTCTAGGACTCCACTAATACAAGTGAAAAAAGATTCTGAAATTCGCGTATTGACTCACCAAACTTGCTTGTGGAGGAGAGTTTTGACAGA